GTACACAATTGTAATACCTTCTTTCCCTATCTAAATTCCTTTTGTATTCCTCATCTTAACCAGACACACAAACTTCATTTAATTGCTCAACATTGCTAAATAGAAACACTCAAGGCAAGATTTACAATCCTTTAGAATGTAAAATTGCCCTTACAAGATGATCAACCAAATTTGTCCCAACTACTAATGGAATTCATTGGGAACTACAAAATCACAGTATTAATTTCATGGCATTGTTTGATTCAATTTTATGAATTAGAATGTGTCCTACTTCAAGTGCTTAGCATACAGAGAAACTGGGCTGTGCTGATTTTCCCTTATCATTACAGTGCAACCTGATTCTATTGTTTGTTGCCTTAGAAAACTTACCTTTTGTAAGCAAGTCTTCAGCTTCATCATCTCTGTCATCACAGTGCAAAGGAAGCTTTCCCTCCATCAGGGTTTCTGACACACTCAGGATGTGGTCACCACACTGTGCCTGGCCTAGTAATACACAGTTCTGTCTTCAGAGCTCAAACTGCTCAGCTCCATGTAGACTGTGCTGGAGGAAGTGTCTCTTGTTGGCATGATCCTCTCCTGAAATTTCTTAGCATACTTTGTTTCATCACTGTAGAAACTGATCCACCTAATCCACACCAGACCTGGCCAGGGCCCTGGCACACCAGCACATGTAGTAGCTCATGAAGGTGTAACCAGATGCCTGACAAGACACCATCATGGAGGCTCTGGGCCTCCCCAGCCCAGTCCCAGACATTACTAGCAGCACCTGACCTTGGGAACCTGAAAAGGGAAGACAGAAGTTTGAGCAGGTGGCCCCTGAGAAGTTCTGGTCACTTTCTCAAGGGAAAGACTTGGGATCTCCTTACTTTTCACAGATGCCACTAAAAAAGGGATTCTCCAGGTCTTGTCCATGAAGAGCTATGTTCCAGGGAATTCTTCAGAAGAGGATGATGGCAGTGAAATTTACTAGGGCACCGATTAACCTATATTCATCTCAGTAGACTGAATATTTATATATTCATGAGGCAGGAAGCTTCTTAGATCTAGATCTCGTCCAGCTTGAGAAGGAGGAAGTGTTGGCATATAAGCTATACAGCAGTTGGTACTGGGTCCCATGTCCCAGTCCTGTCTGAGGAAATATGCCCCTACTGCTACATGACCATTAGTGCCAATGGTCCAGAGAAACTGTGAACTTCACAGGGTGCATCACTGTCTGGTGCTGATCACTGTCCCCATCTGGTGACCATCAGACACCAGCAAATCTCATTGTTGACTCTGAGAGTGATACACTGTTCCTACCACAGGAGGAGCCAGCAGGAAACTAGATACTGCTGATATTGCCAGGCATTTGGGGGTGTTCTCCCCATAACCTATTTAGGTTGCTGAGGCCCCAGCTGTTTCACAGTAAGACCCTTGATTCCCAGAACAGTCCTGTGATGTGGGACCCAGGACTCCATATGGCTTAAAGAAGAATTTTGATTGTTCAAATTCCAAAATCTTGCCTAAAACTTCATATTAATCTCAATTGGTCTCAATCTTAACTCCATAAGGCACCATTTTTCATTTTTTTCAAAATTTAGGCAATATCCACTGATCTCATTCAGCATACATCTGCTACAGTCTCTCACCGTCCACTACTGTGTCACACACTCAATCCTGGTCTGAACACCAAGATCTAAGAATGTAAATCCTGGTAACAACACCAAGACCCCAAGAATGGAAATATAATATTGAGAGCCTGAAACCGATGTGTCTTCCGATATGCTTCACAATTTAAGCTGAGAAAATTCCTCCCTTTGTTCCAGACCCTTACTCCTGACGTATTAAATTCCCTTAAAACACTTCCTATAATATACATTGGATCTTACTTATTTATGTTAACTCTACCAATCATCAGGTCTCCCAAGAGACCACAGCATAGCAAGTGACTGGAGCTTAAGGATGACCCATTGATCCTCTCTAATGCTCAGAGATTCAATTTGTCCTGAACACAAACATACACGATTCATGGAATGGGTCAGGGAATATAATGTGGCCCTGCTGTCGAAGAGGGTCATTTCACCAAATATGCAGGTCAGTTAACGATCATGAGCTCCAGGCACAGAGGGTTCACTGGATCCAGTTAGCTGGTCTGATGGCAGGCAGGCACAGACAGCAAAGGTTCAGAGCAAGGGATATTCATAGAATCTGTGGGAACAATCAGGTTGAGGTACTTTTGAGACCTGAATCACTGGTCCTGGTGAACACTCTACATTGTTGGGTCCAGTAAGGATTATTGATATCCTTGTGTGATCCCATCACATCTCATCTGAGTGGATGTGTTCTGTGGAAGGACACATTCTTCATGGTAATTATTCAGACTCCAAGACAGAGAAACTTCCTGACTTTACTTGAAGCTCCAAAGTTTTGACCATGGGAAGGATCCGTAAGTTAACCCAATCCAACAAGAGCTGCATGAAATCTGAAAAAGATGAGAGTTATCATAGCATGATTCAAATATGGCACCCAAGGGAAGGCTTATTTACAATCTGTGTTCCAAAACCTTCCAAATTTATGAGGTCTGTATGTGTCTACACATCCTGACTAAGCCCTGGTCTACACTGAAACCAAGGGGATATTCCTGGATATCAGGATGTATATGCAGACCTCACCAGGAGCATGAAGAAGCCGCTACATGTGAGCACATTCACAGGAAACTGTGGTTCCCACGAAGATCACAAAAACTGCAACTGCCTGATGCTGATGCTAGAGAAGACAGACGTGGGACCAGCACCATTGTACACTGAGGGTGGTGGTGTAGTTTCAGAAACACCTTTTGAGGAAAGCAGCTGCATGGTGACACAGTTCACCTCCACATGTGATACCCAGGTTCTGCCAAACACATTTTCACTAGAATAAACACTGTGCTGGCCTGGTGGGCTCCAGCTGCTGGTCTCTTCCATTTATGACCTGAGACACCTGGGCAGACATGAAAACAAACATGCGTGAGTCTCTCAGCTGTTTAGTTCCCTGCAGGAACATGTGTGTCCTTCTGGGTCTGTGATTCTAGCTTCTCCCCATAGCACACCTGGATGTCCCAAATACACAATCCTTTCAGGGATCACTAAATCAAAAGGGAGAAATGAGTTGAATCTTTGGGACCTCTGAGCATGGTATGGAAGAAGGCAGAGGCAGAGGCTTCTTAAGACTGTCCTGCCCTCTCCTGTCTTGTCTACTGTCTGCAGCTTCACTGAGTTCTCTCAGATGACCCTAGGTCCTGCAAGTCTCTCAGCTCTAATCCTCTCTTACCACACTGTGCCTGACACTGTGGGATTCTGTGTTCCCTAGAATTTCCTATCATGCAACAGCCACGAGGATCTTTTTCCCTGAAAAATGTCTTTCTTTGGAAAAATATCTCCTTCTTCTTCTTTCATTCGTTTCATATCTAGGCTACTTTAATATCTTAAAATCATATTTGAAGGCTGGGTGGTTGTTGTGCACTTAGAATAGTGTTTTATACATAGAGGAGACATTTCTGGAAATGTACTTCCTGAGTTCTTCCATCTGGACCAGGATCTGTTCAAATTTCTCAATAATTATTCCTTTCTTCCCTCTGTTAGAGCCCTGCATGATATTATTACTATTCTCCTTGAGATTCCAAGAGCTTCTGGAGGTAACACGTGAGCTCTCTTGTATCTAGGACATGATGTGGCCTCCTCCTTGTCCTCTCCTGTGCTTCAGTCATCCAGCACTTCCCATTCAGTGCTCCCTCCACTGTGGGCCTGTGGCTCCTGCTGTACAAGGAGGCAGGGCTCCTGAGGTTCTGGATAGCCTGGTTAATGTGTGGTCAAAAAATCTGAAGTTTTATTTCTTTGACAGGTTATTGAAAATATAATGATGATTCTTTTTCCAGATTTTTATAGAGTTGAGTATGTGGATAATGATTTTCTATGCCTTTATAGGCTGAGCCCAAATCTAAGAGCAACCACAGTTTACAAATTGGAGCTGTTACTTGAATTATGATTCTAAAATCAGTAATTGAATATTTTCACAAGCATGACACAACACTCAGTAACAGAAAAGGAAACAGAAAGAAACTCATCAAAAATTATAGACTTTTCAAGGATCTGCTGTTTAGTGGAACACAAGAGATCCAACAGAGAATTTGGGTATATCTCAGATGATGTGTTCTGGAAGGCATCTTCATTTTAGTCTGGAAACAACAGATGCATCTGGGACATCATATCAGGACAGGAAATCTGAGTCCTTAACCACAGAACACATTAGTGATGATGCTGGTCTAGCTCAGGTGCAGAGCAGGAAGAGGAGGTCGAGGTGCATCTGACTTCGCAAGATGAGTGTGACTGTGAGGTCCATGGTCACATCTGAGGGACAGTGGCCTGTGTGTGAGAACATCATCTCAGCCCTGCCCTCAGGAAAAGGTGATTTGAGGGAGGTGATTGTGCCAAAGCTTTTCTTCTGTTAACTGTGTACCTGATTCAATAAAGATGATAAGCTTAAGTCTGTTACCAATTATAGAGGTGTATTTGAATATTTTAGGAAATATCAGGTACATATGACTGAAAAATACAGAATTATCTGAGAAACTGAGATAAAAGAAATAATATTTGTAAAGACAAAACTCTGTCAGTCTAAGAAATAGTGAATGATATGAAACTGAAGTATCTTGTCTTTTGTACTCTCAATTAACTAAATAAAATGACTGAGAGACACAGAGAGAGAGAGAATGCCAACACTGTATCGTGCTATATTTATGAATTCCTAACTTCTAAAATCTAAAAGGAAAGCTCAGGACAAAGTCCTGCTCATTGTATTGCCACACGATTAGAACACTGAAGCCTCTGGACACTTCTCCCAGTCAAGTCAGACTGCCCTTATCCCTTTCTCCCAGAGGTCTCTGTGTGCTGCTGGGCCTGAACCCGAGGACCAGGTCTTCAGAGAGAGCTGAGGAAAAGAGAGGGTTGTCAGTTCTCAGAACTTAAAAATAAGAACATGCTGGATTTTACTTACTAAAATGAAGGGTTTATTCCTTCATGAGACACCACTTATCATCCAGATAAAATCATTACATTCACTTTAGACAATGACAATTTGTCATTTAAAGGAAAGTTCATGTCACAAAATGTGTAAGTATCTGCAAGATAGGTACATTCACATTTACCCATTAAGTGAAATTATATATAGATTACAAAGAAAATACATAAATATGTACTTATGTAATTAAATACAACACAGAATGTTGACTTGAACTTAGATACTTCACAGTTATCTGATGCCTCCAAATTTCGGGGTCTTCTGTGGACAAATGATTTTAAAACAGAGGAAACCCAGAAGCTACCAGGAAGCATTCACTTGGCAGCTTCCTTTTCTGCGCCTGCATCTGGGGCCCTGTTTCTCATAGGACACAGCGCCCTGTGTTGGTCCCGAGTGCCTCAGCTGGATGTTTGTGTCTGATCTCATGCTGATGTTGCCTCACTGTGTCTCTGGAACAGTAACACAGGGTCCTTGGGTCTCAGGTTGTTCCTTGCAGCTACGTATGCTCTTGTCATTGTCTCTGGAAGATGATGAATAGGACCTTCTTGGAGTCTGCGCAGTTTATACTACCACCATTGGTATTGATGTATGAGATCCACTCCAGTTCCTTCCTGGGTGCCTGGCAAACCCAACTCATCCAATAACTACTGAAGGTGATTTCTGTGGCCACACAGGAGAGTTTCAGGATCCCCCCAGGCTGCACCAAGCCTCCTGAAGACACCACCAGCTGCCCCTCAGCCTTAACAACTGCTAACACAATCACATCCTGGTCAGAAAACTGTCACAAATGTCCACTGTTTCACACATTAGTGTCCAAATTATCATTTTGTACCCCTTGTACCAAATAATTTACCTTTCAGAAGTTCAAACAGGAAAACCCAACTCAGCCCAAAATCCACAGTGATCGTCTGTCCTCAGTCCTGATCACTGCATGGAAACAGCTGGGCATCCAGGGCTGGGCTCCTCTGCAGAGCTGCAGGTCAGGGCTGGGCTGATTTTTCTAACCACAGGGAAGTCCTATTTCAGTCTCTTCCTGCCATATAGACAGCGCCTAGGTCAGATCCTCAGAGCAGGCAGTGTCTACGGCAGCTATGAATACACTGGGTAAGTTTAATAAGAAAGACACATTGAAGAGAATGTGGCAGCTCATGTGACAGTGCTCTGTTGTCAGCTTTCATTTTTATCCATATACACACATCATGCTTTTTATATTCATGATGCTTGCTTTGTAAGAATGTAAAATGTTCAGTTCCATAAACAGCTGTGTTCTCCATATAGGATCTGATGCTGTGTGAATGTCATCCCCATTTTCTAGGCCTTGGCTCTCCAGATCTGTGAGCAGACTGGTTCCTTGTTCAGATCCTGGACTCCTACTGCATTCTGCAGAACCTTTTTCCTTTTCTTTTTCCATCTTCAGCTTTGCTGTGTTCTGGTCTTTCCTGAAAGAAAACCACACCAGCATTCATGGGGTTGCCTGCCTGTGAGTTTCTTGGTTTCACCTGTGATTTTCTTCCTCACTTTCAATGTATTGTATTTCTTTATTTTTTTCTTATTAATTTTTTTTACACCACGGATCAATCTCAACCTCTCACTTGCTAGTCAGATTCTTCTGCCCTTGAGCTATGTCTCCAACCCTATTTTCATATTAATTCTTATTGGTAGAGGACCTTCCTTCAAACCAGGAAACTGCACTGCCAGAGGAAGTGAGTTCTTACACACCATTCTGAGCCCTGGGACAGTTTAAGATCATTGCTCCCAGTGGCCAAGGACCTGCCCAGCTTCCAGCCACACTAAATTAGACTTGGGAGGTTTGGCAGACTGACTAGATTACACCCAGCGACCTTCTTCAATCAAGGGAGTTGAGGGCACATGAAGTGAGTTCCAGCACATTGGTCCTAGCCCGGGGAGAGCTTTGCACCATCATCCACAGTGGTTAGTTGCCTGTCCACCCTCTTGGAACACTGGAGGTGGCATGGGAGGTCCTGTGGGCCTGACTGAATAATGCGCAGCAACGTCGATTCAGTGCCAGGAGCGTATGGCATAGGAGACAATTTCCAACACACCCAGGGGAAGGCTTGGAACAACTGAAACACAGAAATATAGGAAAATGACAAACAGAAAGACCAAAATGCAATCTCAAACATCCAGCCCATTTCAAGAAAGCCTAGAGCCATGAGCATAGAAGAAAACATATGCCATGCACCTGAAATAATAGCAACTGAAATAAAGAAGCAACTCAAGGAGGCTTTAAAGGAATTTAAACAAGAAAAAATCTCCCAGATAAAAGAAGAAATGAAAGAGATGCTGAACACTTCTAAAGAAAACACAGTTAAGAAATGAGAAGAAGATAACAAAAAGATAGAATCCCAAAATGAACAATATAAGAAACAAACAGAATACATAAAGCAGGTTCAAAGAGATATACAAGAAATCAAAAATTCTATTGAAAATTGTCAAAATGGCCTCAACAAAAGTGAAGATAGAATTTGAAGTCTCAAAGACAATATTGCAGCTAGTGAACAGGAAAGGAAAGATCTTTGAAAAATAACAAGGAATCAGTACATAACAACTCAACAGCTACAAGATGATACAAAGAAAAACAACGTCAGATTGATAGCAATAAATGAAAAAGAAGGGGACAACACAAATGATATCAAGAAACTATTTACAGAATTAAGAGCTGAAAATGTATCAAACATGAGAAGGGGAACTGACATTAGGATTAGTGAAGCATATAGAACTCCAAATAGCCATAACCAAAATAAAAGTATACCCAGGCCTATAATAATCACCACCCCAGAAATCTAATGTAACAATAGAATATGAAAAGCTGTTAGCACCTACAAAGAAAAACCTATCAGAATCACAGAAGAGTTCTCAACAAAAAACAGTGAAGTCAAGAAGCGCATGGAGTGAAGTATTTCAGATCCTAAAGGAAAATGATTTCCAGCCTAGACTGATGTACCCTGAAAAAGTCTCCTTTAAAATGGATGGAGAAATAAGATACTTCCATAACAAAGAACAGCTGAAAAACTTCATGATCATCAAGCCAACCTGGCAAAGAATACTGAAAGACACTTTAGATACACATAGGAAAAAACCACTAAGCAAGGCAGACAATTAACAGAATGGAAAGATAAACATGCAACAGCATAAAGATAACATGTTAAAAATAAACAAATATATAACAGTTATAACCATTAATATAAATGGTCTCAATTCTCCAATTTAAAGAAACACTGCAGAAATGATCAAGAAACAACATCCAACCATATGCTGTCTACAAGAAACCCGTCTAACCCAAAAAGAAACTCAGAGACTGAAAGTCAAAGGATGAAAAACAATACTTCATGCAACAGGAACCAAAAAAAAAAAAAAAAAAAGCGAGGGTAGCTATTCTGTTTGCAGATAATGTGAACTTCAAACCAAGTATGATCCTAAGAGAAAAAGAAGGTAATTACATACTGGTTAGGGGAAAACTTCAAGAGGAAGAGATAACAATCTTATATATATATGCACCAAATTCCAGAGCACGCAGCTATACAAAGCAAGTATTAATAGAAATGAAAAATAAATTAGCAATAACACAATTAACAGGAGACCTTAACACACCATTGACACCAAGGGACAGATCAACCAGCAAAATCAGCAAAGAAAGAACAGAACTGAATCAAACCTGTGAATAAATAGACTTGATACATATACAGAGTGTTCCATCCAACAATATAGAATATCAGAATATACATTCTTCTAATCAGCACATGGGTCATTCTCTAAAATAGAACATATACTAGCCCACCAAACATATTTCAATAAATGCAAAAGAATTGAAATTATTTCATGCATACTATCAGATCAAATTGCCATGAAACTAGAAATTAATGATAAAAGAAATTGCAAAACCCTCAAAAACACATGGAAATTGAATAATACACTCGTGAGCAATCAGTGGGTCACAGAGGTAATTAAAGAAGAAATTTAACAATACTTATAAGCAATGAAAATACAAATACAACTTACCAGAATCTGTGGGATGCAAAGAAAGCAGCCCTCAGAGGAAAATTTATTGCACTGAGTTCCCACATTAGGAAAACAGAACAAATACAAATAAACAACCTGATGCTACAACTCAAACATCTAGAAAAAGAAGAGTAAGTCAAGCCCAAAGCCAAAAGAAGGGACAAAATTATAAAAATCAGAGCAGAAATTAATGCAATAGAGACTAAGAAAACAATAAAAAGAATCAATGAATCAAAGAGTTGTCCTTTGAAAGAATAAATAAAATTGATATGCTCATAGCCAACCTTATTTTTAAGGAAAGAAACTCTCGTCCCTGGTAAGCAATGGAAGTGTGGCAGACTGCGGCCCTTTCAGGGGGAGAACCAGCAGCAGCTCCTGAGATCCGCGCCATGTTAGATAGAACTCAGGACGCTGTGAAACCAAACAACCAGCCTGCCTCCCTGCAAAGCAATAGTGAACCTACTGATGCACTGCCTAGAGTCAAACATCCCACTTCCCCTATCCCCCTTCTTCTGTCCCCCCGCCCCACCGTTAGCAAATGGGAACCAGAAATCTGAGTGTCTCCTGGGAGGCTGACCATAGCAAATAAGGGGGACTTCCTTCTACCATCTCTTTGAAGGCAAATACTTTTATTACTGTTTTGCTCTATTCTGATTAATGATACTGCTCTATTCAATATTCTGTTTTGATAAGTTCTATAATGTTCTGTATTTCATCTCATTTTGATATACCTGATTGAAAGAACAACTATTATAAAGATAACAAAATATACTGTGATACCTATTACTATTATCACGGTAACCTGCTGTGAAGTTCTGTACCAATTACACTGTATGATTTTAGTTGGCTTTATTCTGTCTTGTTCTGTTGTATTTTACCACTTTCAAAATAAAATTTTAAAAAAAAGGAAATAAAATGCTCAAATAAATACAATAATGAATGAAAAGAGTGAATTCACTACAGACTCTGTGGAAATACAGAAGATAATCAACCCCTATTTACAAACCTCTACTGTCATAGGTTCTGTAACACAGAAGATATGGATAGATTCCTAGAAACATATGAAGTACCAAAGCTGGGTCAAGAAGATGTAAAACTGCTGAATAACCCAATTTCTATTAATCAAATTGAAAATGTAATTAAGTCCTTACCTACAAAGAAGAGCCCAGGTCCAGAAGGATTCACTGCGGAATTCTACAAGAATACAAAGAAGACTTAATGCCCACACTACTCAAACTCTTCAATGAAATTGAAAGGGAAGCAATTCTTCATAAGTAAATACTACTCTAGTACCAAAACCTGAGAAAGACTCAACTGAAAAAGAGAACTGCAGGCCAATCTCCCTAATAAACACAGATGCAAAAATTCTCAATAAAATATTGGCAAACCGGATGCAACAAATCATCAAGATTATACACCATAACCAAGGGGGATTTAACCCACACTTGCATGGATGGTTCAATATACATAAATCAATAAATGTAATCCACCATATCAATAAAGCCAAAAGTAAGAATCACATGATCATTTCTATAGGTGCAAAAAAAATTTTGATAATCCAACATTCATTCATGATAAGAAACTTACAGAAAATTGGAATAGATGGTCTTTACATCAATATGATAAAGGCCATGTATGACAAATCAACAGCCAGCATCAATGGCCAAAAACTGAATGCCTTTACCTTAAAATCAGGCACAAGACAAAAATATCCCTTATCACCACTCCTATTCATCATAGTACTGGAAATACTAGCCAGAGTAATTAGACAACAGAGAGATAAAAGGGGTAAAGATATGAAAAGAGGAAGCTAAATTATCACTATTTGCAGATGACATGATAGTCTACATAGAAGACCCCCAAAACTCTATTGAAAGTCTTCTAAATATAAGAAATAAATGCAGCAATGTAGCTGGATACAAAATCAATACTCAAAACTCAATAGCATGCCTATACACTAACAACAAAATCACTGAGAGAGAAATAAGAGAACCAAAACCCTTCACACTAGCATCAAAAAAATGAGATACTTAGGAATTAATCTCACAAAAAAAGTAAAAGATCTGTACAGGAAAAATTATAATACCCTGAAAAAAGAAATCAAAGAGGATCTCAGAAAATGGAAAGACATCCCTTGTTCATGGATAGTAAGAATAAATATTGTGAAAATGGCCATTCTCCCAAAACTGTTATACTGATTCAATGAAATACCAATAAAAAATACAATTAACATACCTCATAGATCTATAGAAATTACTCCTAAAATTCATCTGCAACCAGAAGAGACCTAGAGTAACAAAGGCAATTCTAACCAGCAAATGCAAGGCAGGAGGCATTGCAATCTGTGACGTGAAATTATACTACAAAGCAACTGTAATAAAATCAACATGGTATTGGAATAAAAACAGACCTGAGAATC